TGATGACGTCACGTTAAAATTAATCTAACACTATAATACGACTTGTTTATATTTGAGTGTCAGTTTAGTAGTTGGGAAAATATCGTAAAAATAAACACACATTGGTGATCCTGGGAAAATTTAGTTGGGACGTTTTTAAGACCGACATGATTACAATAAAAATGAAATTGTCTTCGTCAGTTCGTAATTGTAATCCTGGAAAAGTTTCCATAAAGATAGATCACACTTCTGAACAAATGGAACCCTTTTTGTAACTAAAAGAATAACTAGTATTTGATATACCCTCTAAGAAAACAGAGGGCGGGTGGGTGGTTCTAGTATTTGCTAAGAAAAGACTGATTTAGCAAGTAATATATGTTCTAAGAAAATAGAGGGTGGGTGGGCGGGGCTAGAATTTACTAAGATAAGACTGATTTTGGCAAATGTTATACTCTCTAAAAAAATAGAGGGTTAGACGATTCCATTTCCCAGAAATATTCCTATCTACTAATTCACCAAAATAAAATTTTCTCCATTAGTTGAAGACATATCGTAAAAATGAATATAGATTCGTAATCCTGGAAAATTTTGATTATGATAACTAGATTAGACTTCAAAAGACGGAACCCTTTAAAATAACGGTACTATTTTGCGAAAACTTGAGGGGGTTTCAGAATAAAACTAACTTTTATTTTTCGAGCCCAAGCTAAGATAAGAGTGATTTTGGTAATTGATATATGTTCCAAGAAAATAGAGGGCGGGTGGGTGGGGCTAGTGTTTGCTAAGATAAGACTGATTTTGGCAAATATTATACTTTCTAAGAAAATATAGGGTGGGTGGGGCTAGTATTTGCTAAGATAAGACTGATTTTAGCAAATGATATACCCTCTAAGATTTGTTGGGCTGCACTTCAGGGGCGCAGGAAATTCTGTCAAAATAAATTCCGACCAATTTTTACGTATGAATATAGACCAATCAATATTCTTCATATATAATCTAAATGTGTTCCATTAAACAAACCTCAGCGTTTAACTTTAAGACTGAGTTTTTCCATAGCGATACAACGTTGTTTATACTTGGTCTGGTGCGGAGTGTGGTGTCAGTTCAGTAGTTGGGAAAATATCGTAAAAATAAACACAGACTGGTGATCTTGGGAAAATTCAGTTGGTACGTTTTTAAGACCGACATGAACACAATAAAAACGAAATTTTCTCCGTTAGTTCGTAATCCATCAAACATTTCTATAAAGGTAGATAGATCATACTTTTGACCAAATTGAATCCTTTTTATAACAGAAGGAATAACTAGTATTTTGATAAAAACGATGTCGTAAAATAGTTGTATAGTGGATCTTCTGGCTCACTTTTTGGCTGGAATATATAAATTTGTGCACATGGATGGCTTCTGGCTCCACTTCGGTCAAGATTTTCCCAGTTCAAAGTTTTTTCGCTAAAAAGTGAGCTTGAACCCCCAATATCCATCTACTGTGATACTTTTTGTTACTCATTGTTGAACAATGATAGGGATATTTCTGGGAAATGGAGCGGTCTAAAATCGGTCCTTGAACATAGTGGTGGTTATGGTTTAAATTTAGACCATTCCATTTCCCAGAAGTAGATAGGAATCTATCTACTAATTCACCAAAATAAAATTTTCTCCGTTAGTTGAAGACATATCGTAAAAATGAATATAGATTCGTAATCCTGGAAAATTTCGATTAGGATAACTAGATTAGACTTCAAAATGACGGAACCCTTTAACATAACGGTCATATTTTGCGAAAACTTGAGGGGGTTTCAGAATAAAACTAACTTTTATTTTTCGCGCCTAAGCTAAGATAAGAGTGTTTTTGGACAATTGATATATGCTCTAAGAAAACAGAGGGCGGGTGGGCGGGGCTAATATTTGCTAAGATAAGACTCATTTTGGCAGATGTTATACTCTCTAAAAAAATAGAGGGTGGGTGGGGCTAGCATTTGCTAATATAAGACTGATTCTTCATAAAGAATCTAAATGCGTCCAATTAAACAAACCTCGGCATTTAACATTAAAACAGGGATACGACGTAATTTTTAGAAAATTTAGTTCCTGTTGTTGTAAGAATCAAAATGTGTGAAGATTCCATGATCATTGCAGAAAAACTAACTCCATTGCGGTGTCCCAATAAAAAATAACTGCTTTTTCGAATTTCCTAAAACCGCATTCGACGGTCTCGGTTTGCGCCACCGATGCACCTCGCCTCTGGCTACTTTCACGTTTTTTCGAAATTCCAAACCTCTAAATTACGAAAAAGTCGATCTCGCGTTGCCATCTGTCTGTCTGTCTATCTTAATAAGATAAGCTCTGAAATTACTGGATCGATTGTTATTAAATATGTATATTGTGTACATGTATATGTTAGGAATACAGTGAATTACAATAGTAAATCTTATTTCAATTTTAAAACGAAGATACTCCTCCACATGTGGTTTATGAGTCCGACTTGTATTTTTATTACACAATTTAGATTTTTCAAAAAAAATTGCCATTTAACTTTGAAATTGCAAAACCGAATGCTCTGAAATCTTACAAAGGTTTTAAGGTTGTTACATGGTAAGTCGTTAATCAAAATTTTTTCTTTTATGGCTTGCCCAAAAAATGATGGCATTACCTTACAATTCTGGCGAATACTTAAATGTTCTTTAAATTTTGTACAATATCATACGCCTGTATGTGTGATTTATGAATCCGTATTGAGCTTTTACCCCGGCATCCAAATTTTTGGTAAAGAAATCAACTTTGAAATCACAAAACAAAATTCTCAAAATAACGTTTTGTTCCATTGTAGCTTAATTAATTTTTAATTAATTAGAACTAATTAATTCTTGCCTCTCTTTTGAGAATTTGGTTTTCAAGAGTAATTGAATCAAATTTAATTTTCTTTTAAGACAAATGATAGCCGCTGATGATTGTTATCTGAACGTGCTAACAGTTGAATTATTCGATGTATAAACACAAACAGTTGAAGTTAAGTACATAAATACATATTTTTCACAAAACAAAAATCGCAAAATCAATTTTACAATTTTCCAAAAATGGGGGATTTGTTGGACTGTACTTCAAGACAGAGGGAAGTTCTGTTTAAATGACCTTCGACCAATTTTTTCCGCAAGTTATGAAAATATTGAAAAATTAAGCACTTGCCCTTAAAGTAGATTACACTTCGAAGCAGATGGAACCTTTTTCGGAACGATATAAGTGACTACTTATAATAAATATTTTTTCTAGATTACTTAGAGAAATACCTACATGTCAAAATAAATACAGATTCCTAATCTTGGACAAAATTTCCGTTGACATTAATCACATTTTAGAACCGATTTAAACAATAATAAAACTGAGTGACTATTAATGATTGAAGCAAATTTTTGGGTCGGTAGTTCCGAATTATTGGCAGCAATGTTAGTATGGCAGTTCACCGTTATCAATTTGACATGAGCGCTCCTAAAAAATGAACGAAAATTTGTATAAGGAAATATCGATTTTGCAATTACCCCATAATTGCAAAATCCATCTTTCCTTGCAAAAATGTACCATTTTAACCATGTTTTAAGTTTCTTGTTGTGAGAAGATGGCTATGTATAAAAAAAGGCAACATATAAGCCCTGCCCACCCGCCCTATCTCAATTCCGATGAATTTTTCATTCGTTGTCAGACCGAGGGCGGAGCGTAATTGCAAAATCCATATTTCCCTATACAAATTTACCATTTTAATTAAACATGTTTTACCTTTCTTATTGTGAAAAGAAGACTACACATATTTAAAAAAAAAGGGCAAAATGTAAGCCCGCCCACCCGCCCTATCTCAATTGTGATGATTTTTTTTATTCGCCGTGAATCAAGGGGTGGAGCTTAACTGCAAAATACTTCAGTAGGTACCTGCTGAATTGGTACCGAAAATTTAGATTTTACATTAAATATCAATCATAACATTTTAAATATGTTGCCAACCTCACAAAAAAAATCACAAACATTAATGGTCACTCAACATTCATTTCGGAAACAACATACTCGTACGTAAAAATAAAAGCCGGTGACGTAACACTCTTGACCAGATTTTTATTTAGACACCCAATTGTTATATAATGGGAATTCTGTTCACTTTTTGGCGGGAAAATTTTAATTCGGCCGCAATCGCGGTTTCTACCTTACTTGGTACTATCAAGTGCGGTTTCTGGCTCACTTTTTTGGCTGGAAAATATAAATTCGTGTACCTGCACTTGCACAGTACTAATTAAACTAAAATTCGAGCCCGAGCACAAATTGAAAGTTTCAAGCCAAAAAGTGAACCAGAAGCCCCAATATATATTCTACTTCACCAAAATAAAATTACCATTTCCTGCATTCAAAATATATCGTAAAAATGAATACATATTGGTAATCTTGGTTGGATAATTGGAAACAGAGATTCGATTAACAATGTCTCTAAAAATGTGAATACAGTGATAAAGCGCAAGGACGTGTATGTCAGTTCCGAGATGTGGAGTGTAATACTAATAATAAAAAAAATGGGATGTAGTCTTAATTGGAAATATGATCGTGGATTGAACTAATTTGTCAATCAGGTATGTAGCTACGTATTATCTGACTAAAGAAAAAGAAGGTTTGAACAATAAAAATTATAATAACAAAAAACAAAAACAAAATAGATTCATAAAGCACAAGTACAAGAGCATATTATTTTATAAAATTAAAATGGCATTTACTCAGCAAAATTTTCAGGTGACGTCATTATAATGTGAGTGGGGATGCTATGAAAAATTTTGGTTAGCAGTTAGCAGACAGACAGATACTCTAGGAGACATAAAACATCCAGAAAACATGGAAGTAGACAGTCGTTGGATGATCCAGTTATGAAGTTTAATAAAATTTCACTTCAAATATATGTATATGTATAAATAAATGAACTTTATGATCGAGAAAAAAGTGGTCTAGCAACCATTGAAATTTAATGTTAGAAAAATTATGTTGGCAACACCAATATGTTCCCTGGTTGGTTTGATAGTTACTACCAAGTAACTGTCAAATAGCTACAATGTCAACAGAATTTCAAGGCCTACTAGACGATTTTTTTTAAGTTCTTACTTCAACTAGCTTTTGTCATTCTTTTTTTTAATAGCAGAACTGTGTAAATTTAACATCACTAGAAAAGATATTTGGTTCTATTTTTTCTTAAAAAAGTGCCTACCCTACGACTGTTATTGAATTATAAGCAACGTGACTGATGTATGGCAAATCCAATTTCCGAAATATTGCATTAAAATAATTGACAAATTTTATTTTTCAGTAGATGCACAAACTGTTCGCCATTTACTTCATAGTAACAATAACTAAATTTTAATCATTGTTGAATAACACACATCAAAATTAATTTAAACTCCAACAAAATGTTGATGAATTGCGTAACGAAAGTTGTGAAATAGTTCGTCTGGTATTTTCGTCTAAAGATTTCTTTGACAGGAAGTCTTCATAAAAAATACGCCCTAACATGCACGGATATTGGTCACGCTTCGGAGGGCAAAGGAAGTAAGGTCTAAACACTTTGGATGAATGTTTTATGTTATGTTTATTAAGTTCGAATTACACTGTCTCATTTCATCAGCTGAAAATGTTGGAAATGTGAATGGGCTCTGGAAGTCATTATTGTTGCTATTATTAAACATTTATGTCAAACCTCCATTAAATCTCGTAATTTATTCTAATTACTACTTGCTTCAACTTCTCTCAACGTAAACTAGATTAGTGGTTTAGAAAAAAACGGTTACAATTCGATTTTAAACCGCAAACACAAATATACATCGTTTAATCAACGAAGTGTGTATTTCGTCGAGCCCGTTTTCAGGATATTTTCACTGATAAAATTTTCCACTTTGTTTTTATTTAAACCGAAACTTTGACACCTTCACAAAACTAAATATAAACTTAGGGTTGTTGATTTTCCGACAGTAAATTGAAGCTTTTATTTGTATATACGTGTTGTGATTAAGTGAAGCGCACCGGACGTCGGTTTACACCTCGACCCATCATCCGCGTCTCTGCCATCTCTCGAGCCCGGGCGGCCCGTCAGCTCCCATCTGTATCATCCATGGAGGTACGGTGACTGGCCATCTGGGTAGGCAAGCACGTGGGGACCTTCATCTGCCGGTCAATGCAAGCGCGCTCTTCCGCGGCTTGGCCTCGCGCTCCGAGGCTGTACTTGCATATAAAACTCCGCGCGGGCCACACGCCCCTCATCCGTCTTTCAACCACACTGCCACATAGTGTTAAGTTTCCCCAAACGACGCCCACGTCCACCATGAAAATTGTAAGTGACCAGTGCCCATTCATTCAGTGCTTCAGTGAAAAGTGCCATTTTCATTAAAATCAATATAATTGGGTTAGTGCCAGCATTTCACCTAATGCTGGCTTTTCTTCAAGAAAAATCGATTGTCAGAGAAACTTGCTTTTGAGTATTGTAAATGCGGGTTTAGATTCGATTTAGTGACGTTTGTGATTCAGTGGTGGAAACGTGTACAAGATTGGGAGATAATTTGAATTTGAGATGGTTTACAAAGATGTGGTATGCTGATACGAATTAATTACTTTCTCTTAATGGTAATTGTTGAAGAAGTCCGTTTGTTTCGTTTCTAGTGAAGATACGTGATGTACATTGTTTTCGCTTTAGAAACTAATGATTTCCTTTAATTTTAAATTTGTGTTGTAACTGAGCTGAAAATTATTCTAATTTGTCGAAAAATTGACAGGGGCATTCTAATTTTTACTAAATTAATTTGACACTTATTTTATGAACGAGGTTTTAATTGCTTCTTAATTAATAATAATGGGTTATTCCACTCGAGCTTCGATTAATTGCAGTGGCCACATTCGAACCATTTTCGATACAGTCTCGGTTTTTCTCCGTTAATTAAAAATGTTGTGTCATTCTGTCACAATATTTATTATATTTTGGTAAATAAAAAGGAAACATATTTTTTTGTTATTTAACATTTCTCGAAAAATTAACTAAAAATTATTTCTTTCATTTTTTAAATAAAAAAAAAATTGTTCCATACTAAGTTTTAGATTCAATAATAATATTTCCAAAAATTCTCGAAAGTTGTTTGAAATCCCTTTATTATTTTGTGTAGTCGCTCAGAATTTATCATCAAAATAAAAATAAACAACTCAGTTAAAACTAAATCTTTTACACCACCCTGTAGATAAGAAATTTAAGAACGAAAGTTTGAAAAATATGACCAGAACAACCTATAATAAAATAATCAAAATTAAAAAAAAAATTAGGTGACCAAATTTTTAACAATTACTGTCAATAAAAATTTTGTTATACGGGGTGAGTCACTAAGCGTGCGGTGCTCTATATCTCATTAATTAACTTTTTTAAATAAAGCATCCGATATATTTTTACAGGCTTTACAACTACAGTTTATTTTTGAAACACCGATGCGACGGTGCCACGTTATTTCAATTTTCTTGAATTTTTTTAACTGAAATTAAATTTTCGTATACATAGTGTTTACCATTTTTTTAACTATTACAATTTCCAAATATCGATAGTTTAGTTTTTTCAAATACAACATTTTATTAATCCATCTTATTCTATTTTTTTGTTCTTTGTTTTGTTAAGTATTTCGTATATTTAAACGTGATACTTACTGAGATATTTTACTTCATTAGAAAAATCAGAACAAAAAGAGAGTAAGATACAGTAGTAAAATACAGGGTGTCCTATTCGAACAAACTCAAATATTGATATTTGAAAATTGTTAATATTAGAATTTTTTATAAACACTCTGTATATTAAAATTTGATTTAATTGATTCTATAACAAGGCTCGTACTTTATTTATCGTTCCATAAAATATTGTAAGACATTGCCGTCTTCTAGGGAGCTAATTGCCAAAAAATTTCAAGAAAATTAGAATGACGTCGCATCGGAATTTCAAAAAAAACTATAGTTATAAAGCCTAGGAAGAGGCTAATGAGAATATGTAAAAATATATAGGGTATTTCATTAAAAAACTAAGTTGTGTGCTACACTTTAAAAACAGAATACTCTATATGTATACCTAGTTAAAAATAATTTTAGAATATAGTCTTCAAAGAACAACACAATTTTGGTCTATTTCTTTAGTAATTAATGAGATATCTCACTCTGTATAATAATTCTTACAAATCTGATTTAAATTTACAGGACCTTAATTATTTTTGAATCTTTCGTATATTTTACAGTCACGTTTTTACAATTTTGGCTCAGTGTTTCAAAATAAAAATTTGCTCAATTTAACTATCTATTTTTTACACTGTTTCTTTTAAATTTCTCGTCTCCCACCTAAAAGTTTTTTGTTTTTTAAGAAAACAAGATTTTTTATTATTGAGAAATTTTGACTTGATCGGCGTCAAAATTATAAGGCATTTTTAAAAATTTTCCAAAAAAAACACAGAAAAAGTTCTTTTTGAAAGAAATTGTCTTCTAAATGATGTATTCTAAGTCTCAGGATTTTTACTCAAAAACTTGTTCCTACTTTTATAATTTATATCTAAACAACAATTAATTATACACAAATTTCTGGTTCGTTAATAGAAATAAACCATGTGCACTTAGTTTTGCCTATTAAACACAAATTTGTTTTATAAAATACAATAATAAAAAAATAGTGACGACAACTCGTGTTAAAAGTAACTTTATTGCAATTCATGTTTTACACGCTCGAACGCTTGTGCAAAAATCTTTAAAGAGTCTTCACCTATTATTTTGTTTCTTCTTCTCATTTAAGCTCGTTCAAGTTTTTATGTGGTGTGTAATTTGGTTAAAGAGATTTATAATCCAAAGATTACACAATTTCGTCACTTAAACATGTAAGTTATGACATGTTCATGATTTGACAACTTAATTTATAAAAATCAGGAGCGGTTTAACTTGAATGAACACTTAATATTTGTTTACGTTTTTGTAACAGATTGAATACCATGTTAGATTACAGCTGTAAATTAAATTTCTAATCGGAGCGTCTGCTAAATTAGGTTAACTCTTCGATTAATTCTGGTTTCGCCAACACCAATGAAAACGCGCTTTCGGTTTTACAAAACGAATCTCGAGCTTTGTGTCGGAAGACGGTTTTACATCACATAAACATAATACGGTAATATATTTCGAAAATTTTACATTTGCTAATTTAACAATGTCCAAACAACTCATAAACGTCTCAATTAGAATATTATGCGTCTGCTATCATTAGCCTTTACATTCATTACCGGAATACTTGCATACTATTTCCTGCCATAAATCCTGAAACGGCGCGCAATTATGACAAATAGTAATAACAGACCTACGCTAAAGCAATGGCTCAATTTGGAAAAATAGCCAATTTATGGCGGCATAAACCATTACTCGAAAAGGTTGAATCCCTGGAAGCCACTCTTTACCGACCATGAAGTTAATATTTCACGTATTGCAGTTATTTCCAGCGTGAAAGCAAAATTTTTTGAGTGATAAGAAATTTGTGTAATTTTGAAAAACGAAAGCCCGAAGAAAGCGATCGAGGTTTGATGAGTTTTTTACGACGATGAGTACCTACCTATTGACGTGAAAATAGCAAACAATACTGCATTGTTTGGAGTTATGCTTATTTGATAAGCACGATGTAATCTCAACCGTTTAATTTTTACGCGAAGAACTCTCCTAATTAAAACAGTAGCGGTGATTACATTTCTCCGACACTTGAAACGTAGTTTTCCCGTATAATGCGAAGCATCATGGTCCGGTGCACTAATTGACAATGGACTTTCACTAGTCGGAAAGGAAAAATCAAAATGCTTCGATTTGGACAATAAAGGATTAATGAAATTGGCCAGCCTCAGGTTTAATTGTTAGTTAATAGATAATTAACATGTAACGATCTATAAATAAGGCTGATTTGAATAATCTGCATTTATATTACTGGATTGAATGCTCTACTTAACTCAATTGCAACAGGAAAAAATTGTCAAAAACAACATTGACACTCGCGATAATTAATTAGAGAAAAATCGTGTCCAGTGGGCATGTGGTGTGTAAACATTGTAGAACACATAAGGCGTTGGGTAATTGGAAAGCAGTTATTTTGAAGTGAATTCTACTGTAACGGAAATTTTTTGTGGGTTCGATTTTTAAATTTGTGTTCATCGAGCATGTCCATACACGCGACTGCGGTACTACCTTACATAACCTATTTAATATGCGGTAATTTGTACAAGTAATTGTCATCGACATGTACTCCCCGCACTCCAAAACTAGGAAAAATACGCGCATTTTGTAAGGAGACTTCGGGCGTTTTGTAACAGGGGTTTTGAAAGCTTCATAACCGTACCTTCTATTATTGTTTTTACTTTCAAGTCATGCTTCGTGTTGAGCCAATCCAGAGCGATCGAACATGTTATTATCAGTGAGTTCTCGATGGACTGGAGAGATCTCCGCTCCAATTCTACTTTTCCGCTAAAATCACGCAAATCAGACCACAAGTACCACCATCAGTGTCATTTAGCTAATTTCTTCTAAATTAGTACAACGAGTACTACTCATCAATGGTCTTGTTACCCGCTTTCGTTGACACACAATTTCGTCACAAACGTGCCGAAATCAAAACTATAGTGAAAACGTGACAGATGGTGGAAGAAAGTGATGATGGTACTCCTGAAATTTTTATTCCAATAACATATATCGGACTCGTTTGATCAAACTGGATCCGCTTTGTTTAGGTCAGGCCGTTCATCAAAGATTTTCACTTAATCGCTGCGAATTATCTCGGCAATAAATACTCCGGTGTGTTAACGACAAAGCACGATAGCCTTAACGCATGCAACGTTACGTAAATGTCGTACTTCGCTAAAGGACTGTTATTGGACACGCGATCAACCTTATCTCCTTGACGGTTTCTTGTCTCTAATGAACATTTAGTACAGTTAGCCTCACATACTTATCGATTGCTCCTAGTTGCACAACCGTCGATAACAGCAAGGAGAAACCGAAGGATCGCCAAATCCGATTAACATAGTTAATTGATTTTGATTGTTTGTTGATCATCCTCAAAGGTCGTTTCGATTTGCTGGGATGCCATTCCGCTTGCTAAGTGCACCCGAATTAGCTTTTTTAATGATGGAAATTATTGTTGTGACTTGGAGTCGTGACAATTAACAGCTTCGGGTAATTAATCTAATTAATGAAATTGCTTCAACAATGCGAAGAAAGGCCGGATTTTGTTTAAGGAAACGGAAACGCTGTAGTCAAGGTGCTTTCATTGCGAAATCGTAGACGTGTAGACAGACACGC